GGGTTGGGCCCCACTTGGCCACGAAAGGGGCAGGCCAGTGCCAGGTGGAGCAGCCAGGGATTCATCCTGTGGCTAGAACACACCAGCAAAGGGCCCAGCCACTAGAGGAAAACAGCCTACTACTGCTGCCAGACCCTCCCCGGCCGGAGTGACAGTGGCCTGTGGCCAAGGTACAGACAGCTGCAGTGTGATGGCAGGGGCGGGGGGGTGGGGAGAGGGCTCATGGGAGGGGCACACAGGGCTCCCTAAGCCCTCACTCTTGATCATGTTCACGTCGTTGGCGCCGTCCCCGATGGCCAGCGTGATGGCTTTCCGGTGCCTCTTCACCAGCTGCACGATGAGGGCTTTCTGCTTGGGCGTGACCCGGCAGCAGATCACGGCCTGGCAGCTGGTGGCCAGGTCCACGAAGGCCTTCTCCACCAAACTCTCTGCCGCCGGCTGCATCCTGGCCTTGCAGCAGGCCTGCCGGGCCCAGAAACCTTCCTCCGTCTTCACCTTCTCCCCCGTGCCCAGGACTCGCTCCTGAGGACAGAGCAGAGACACAAGCCATGCCAGCCTTGGGCCTGAGCCGAACCCCCCTCGGCTGGTGGAGGGGGGATGAGTATGGGGTTACGGCTAAGGAGCGAGAGGCACTTCCCTGCCTCGGTTTCCCCCTTTAAGTAAGAGTTGCCCAGCACTTACAAAGCGAAAGGGTGAGATTTTCCAAAGCGCCCCAGGGATTTAGCAGCATGGGGCCTGGCGACGTCCACAGGGATCTCTGCTTCTAAACCCCTTGGGCACTTGGCAAATTCTTTCCCCGTTCCCCAAACGTTTTGAGAGCCTCAGAACGAAGGCGCAATGGGCTGCCCAGTGGGCAGAGCCACCGCCAGCTTCTCCTGTACGTGCCCCTTCCGGACCCTCTCTCCCAGGCTGCCACGGTCCGAGGCCGGCACCGCGACTCAGCTGCCGTGTTGGGCGTCCGAGGGGGCTGCGCTGCAGGGCCCGGTGGGATCACGCGGGAAGGGGAGGGAGCAGCGAAGCGTCACCTACCAGGAAGTCCCCGGTGACGACCAAGGCCATCTTCCCTTGGCACAGGCCGCTTGGCTGCTGCTGCACCGGGCACAGGGGCTCCCCGCTGCTGCCCAGGTTGTTGTTGCTCACCCAATAGGCTTCCAGCATCTCACTGTGCGAGAAAGGGGCCGGGACGCAATGGAACGGGGGGTCAAAGCCAAGGCCGGCCAGGGGACATCCTGGAGAGGGGGGGCAGCCCTGGGCAGCGGCTGCCCAACCCCCAGCCGGGACCGGGGGTGGAGGGG